ACTTTGAAAACATATTAATTCACTTGCACATGTAAACGATGTCAGTTGAACCTCCTACCCATGAAGAAATCCAAATAGATGATGAAGTAGAAGAAATTGAGGATGAGGAAGAGGATGAGGAGGTTGATGAGGAAGAGGATGTAGATGAAGAGGAAGAGGAAGAAGAAATTGAGGAAGTAACTCATGGTAGGAGCACTGGCAGAGGCCTAACCTTGAAGACTCTGGTGAAGGAAGGCGTCTTACAGCCTGGCGAGGGACTCATGACCATCAATTACCTGGTAAGGTCATCTTACGATATCTTGCGACTCAATCATGCGATGTTTTGCATCACGTGGTCATATGATGTCTGGTATCTTGCAGTCGCATAACATCTTGCACATCATGTTCTCACACAGCAATGTGTCTTTACTGTTATATAATACCACAGTTGGATGATACCCTTTTATTACTGTTTCATGATAGCTTGCCTATCATAATTATGGACTGTCGTATATTTTAAACTGTCGTATATTTTATGCCATAATCAAGTGGTATTGTTGTGCTCTGATTTCTGGGAACTGGACAATCACATCTGCTAGAACATGCAGTGGTGAACACAGCTGTAAATTTGGAGTCATTGTCTGTTCCAGTGTTAATCTACTGCTAGAGTTTAAAGCATTGTGTCGTCATCAGACATTGGATTTTTATATTGCGTGGATTTCAGTCCTGGATAAATCTACATACTGGAGGGCTTCATGATAGTATTTGCCGGACATATTAATGAATAAATGTGAGGCATCAATATAATGTCCTCGCTTTCATTTCATTTTGTGTGTGTTCAGTTATGTGTTTTAGCTATGTTAGTGTGACTTAATTTCTGCACCTGAATATAATGATAAATTCTCAGAATCGAATAGTGGTGATATGTCAGCAGCATTTGGAAATTAAATTCAAAGTCGGGCAGTTTTGTATTTCTTCAGGTAAACAAAATCCCAACAATAAAGCAAACTTTGTTAGGTATAAATCTTAGGATATACCGTACAATGCTGAGATATCTTGTCCCCTATTTTTTCTTGTGTATACTAGATTAAAGGCAGCACCAAGTATAGATCGACTCTTAATGTTATCTTGTTATTTAATTACAGAACATAATGAGGGGAAACAACATGATATGCATACTGACAGTCACATGTTGATTTGTTGATTACACCTTCATCGTCAGTGAATTGCTGCAAGCCAGTTTGTGGTTAGTGCTGCCCTCTGGTGTCTGACTCATTTGGTAAACTGGGCTGGGGAGTAAGATCGTATATTAACTCTGTAAATGCTGATTAACACAATTCTTTGCATATAATATGCTAATGAAATATTAAATAATTATTAACCATTTAATGCCATTATTAAAGCTTTTACAAGTGTTAAGCAAAATATTTTGGTGTACTGTAGTTTGTATCATTGAAAATGTAAGTAAAATAAATATATATGCAGTACAGTGGAGAGAGGGGAAAGGGAGACTGAAGCAGAAAATACTTAGAGTAATATTTAGTGCAGTTGGATTACAGCCAAAAGACCTTGAGTTAACTTCCTGCATTAGGACAAAAGCATTTGGGCAGCATGTCCTTTCATCTGATGCACCTTGTTCATCTTGCAGTAAATTGGTACCTGGGAGTTAGGCAATTGTTGTGGATATCATCCTGGGGAAGGTCAGTAGTTGGCCTGGGGAGATTCCCATGAACCTAACAGGGTTACTGGGGCCCTAACAAAGGGAAACCAAATCAAAAGTTACCTTTGGTAACTTTTCATGTTGGCTGCCTTCATTAGATAAATAATAGGGGTGATATTCTTGGTTCTGATTGTGATAAAATATTAGTTATTTGGTGGTTCTTGCACAGCAATACTTTAAGGCTATATTGAGTTCAGCAATGTGTGCTTTGTTTTAATTTAAGTACCATGCTTTACTTTGCTGTATAGAGTTCAGATTGCCGACAACTGTGTAGAGAAACGCCAGGATGAGAGCACGCTGTTATTTGTCGAGTGACATAAAATCACTCCGACTGTAAAGGGGTCTACATCCTTGACTTTCACTCTGGGCTCAATCCCTGGGCAGGATAGAAACAGTTGGGCTTGCTTCTTTTCATCTAATGCCTCTGCTCACCTAGCAGTAAAATAGGTATCTGAGAGTTAGGCAAGTGTTGTGCAGTGCATCCTGTGGAACGTCAGTAGTTAGTTTAGGGGGTCCTTGATAAGCCTGAACACAGTACAAGCTTCCTTTGTCTAATGGTGAGAATTAATAAATCACAGTGATAGATAGATCTCTTAATGGCAAGTATTTTATCTACAAGCAAAGTCTGCTCTTGGTGTTTCTCTACACGCTTAACTGCTTTTTATTCATGCATTTATAAGCTACACATGATGGAAATGATGCATTTGGTTGGAAAGTGGCAAGCCAGACTTGAAGGAAAGAATGGCTTAAACTTGACATTATTGAATGCTGCATGATTATTTTTATCAAAATCTTGTAAAATAAAAAAAAAAGTTCAATTTTATTTTGTAAACTGACTAATAATAGTCTAATTTCGTGAGTTAATCAAGTGACGCGGGATTGTGTGGAGTCTGAAATTTGGCTTGGCACATTTAACAAGTGGAAGTAAGTCCTGGTGCTAATGGAACCATAACTGGGTCAGCATGATAGAATGCCTGGTGCAGTATCATGATGGGGGGTAATAATTGTAATTTGTATTTGTGCTACATTTAATAGCACCCTTCAAGTCAGATTCAGTTGCAACCTACATTCTTAATTCAGTTTAATAAGCAGCTGTATAATTAAATTCTTTATTTTGGGTGCAATCCTCTTAAAGGAAGTAGGTTTCCATTTAATAGAAAACTGTATAATAAGACTAAAGAAAAATAAAGTATAATGAACATAAGAAAATAAGTATAAAAGAAAATACGGATAAAGGAAACTGCAGAAGGCCTATTGGTCCAAATAAAGCAGCTCTTATTGACCTCTATAAAGCAGCTCCTATTGACCCATATGAAGCAGCAGCTATTGACCCAAATGAGCAGCTTTTATTGACCCATATGAGCAGCTTCTATGGACCCATATGAGCAGCTCATATTGACCCATACAAAGCAGCTCATATTGACCCTTACGAAGCAGCTCATATTGACCCATACGAAGCAGATCCTATTGACCCATACGAAGCGGCTCCTATTGACCCATATGAAGCGGCTCATATTGACCCATATGAAGCAGCTCATATTGACCTATATGAAATAGTTCATATTGACTCATATGACGCAGCTCCTATTTATTTCACTCATCTAACTCTTCATTCCTCCAGGAAACAAAGTAAGCCCCCTTAATCTCTCCTTACAAGCAGGGCTCCCCATTCCTTGTCCATTATACATTAGATATAAGTTAGAAAGACTAATAGCTTGGTTTAAAGTCTTGTGCATTTTGAAAGACTTGCGTCTTTAATACAATACAGTTATCTGTGTTTTGGGTTCCTCTTCAAATGTAGGGAATTTTGGTATAGGAACGGTACTGCGTGAATTGTATGTGCTAAGTTTTTCGTCAGACATGTTCATTATGAGAAACAAATTGTCATTTGTTAGAAGGAAAATTGGATAACGTTACAAGCTTGAATATGTTGCATTTCTACATAATATAAAAACGAGAAACATTTTAATTGTAAAGAAGAGTTTAATTTTCTTTTAGAATTTTTATAAAAAGCTAGTTGTGTAAAACGAGTTTCAGTGTATGTTAATTTAAGCATAACAAAACTTGTATTGCATTGTCATGAACTGTAGATTAGCAGATTTCTTCACACTACCTCAACTTCTACTTTTCAATGCAATTAACCTGCTGTAGTGGGATTTGTAATCCTTAATAACAGACATGCTTACAGGTGTTGGCAGTTTGTGTTATACTGTATGTAGTTGGTTTGTTTATTAACTATTATGTGTTTGTGTGGCCAGGGGAACAAGTTTAAGGGTGACCTCTTACCTGATGGGAGAATTCGGTCACAAGAAACAAATAAGATCTTCGGTACCCCCAGTGCGTGGGCCATCTATTGTAAGAAGATTGTTAACCCTGACAAGAAGTCGGGTTGTGGATGGGCATCGGTAAGACTAGTATCAACAAGATATCTCTTTGTATGACAGATTCATTTATATTTTTGTGAGTTTATTTTTATGTTCTACATGTTACTGTGAATGCATTTTATTTTTATGTTCTACATGTTACTGTGAATGTGTCTGTGTTTGTTACGTTGTTCTGCATATTAAATGTCCTACATGTTACTGTGAATTTGTCCGATTTTGTTATGTTCTTCATAAATTACTTTGAATTGATATTGATATGCTCTTTTACATGATGCCATCTATGTGTGTGTGTCTGTCATTCAGCTGCAAGGCACAAAGAAGACTGTGAACAAGCTGTGAAAAACATCAAGTACAGTGCAGGGACCTCATTATATTCAATGTTTTGCCAATAACTAGTTTTGTGAAATGATATCAGTATGTTGTCAGTGTACACACAGTACTGTATTAGTAATAGCACCTCGAACATTAAAGTTTGTTAATAAGTTATGTTAAAAGAAGCATTAGGTTGCCTTAAAAATGAAACAAAAATTATTCTTAACGTATGTGTACTATTGATTAGAGAAATTTCTTTTAAATTTAAGTTGCTTTAAGAAACACCACCAGTATGGATTTTATACATTATTACTCATCTCACAACAAAAGAAGGCGGCAAAGCATTCTTATTACTGTATTTTATGTGGGGAGCTCCGTCGGCTCCCAGGAGCTATCTATACTGATTCAGTGCCACACTACTTGGAGTCATCAGTCAGAGTTCTTGTAGCTTACTGGGGACCACAAGCCAGAACCTGGCCCTCTCAGAGAGGTGTAGAGAGCAGTGGCTCATGAACACACTACATTTTAGGTATATCATCTTGCTATCAACCAGGGTCGTACCCAGAAAGGTAGGTGAATCAAAACAGACTACTGCCTGGTTGCAGAGTGAGACCTACACCCTCAAATTATCAAAAGAACTCCCCCATAAAGAAAACAAATGAGCAAAACTTCATCCAACCCTCTAACCCCTGCTCGTTACCACCACCCTATTCCTGCTGGAGGAAGGGGATGCTGGCCTGGGTGAGCCGGGCTGCTCACCAGTCAGTTCTTGACTGATGTGTCTGGCGGTCAGCTGTCGCTCTGGCAACGATTTCTTTTTTTTGGAAGTTTTTGCTGTGTGAGGCTACTCCTGCACGTGTAATTACCTAAGTGTAGTTACAGGATGAGAGCTATGCTCGTGGTGTCCCGTCTTTCCAGCACTCTGTCATATAACGCTTTGAAACTACTAATGGTTTTGGCCTCCTCCACCTTCTCACCTAACTTGTTCCAATCGTCTACCACTCTGTTTGCGAAAGTGAATTTTCTTATATTTCTTCTGCATCTTTGTTTAATTAGTTTAAATCTATGACCTCTTGTTCTTGAAGATCCAGGTCTCAGGAAATCTTCCTGTCAATTTTATCAATTCCTGTTACTATTTTGTATGTAGTGATCATATTGCCTCTTTTTCTTCTGTCTAATAGTTTTGGCATATTTAATGCCTCTAACCTTTCCTCGTAGCTCTTGCCCTTCAGTTCTGGGAGTCTCTTAGTAGCATGTCTTTGCACCTTTTCCAGTTTGTTGATGTGCTTCTTAAGATATGGGCACCACACAACCGCTGCACATTCTAGCTTTGGCCTAACAAAAGTTGTGAACAATTTCTTTAGTATTTCGCCATCCATGTATTTAAAAGCAATTCTGAAGTTAGAAAGCGTGGCATAGGCTCCTCACACAACTTTCTTTATGTGGTCCTCAGGAGATAGTTTTCTATCTACAACCACCCCTAGATCTCTTTCTTTATCAGAATTCTTTAAGGATTTCTCACATAATATATAGGTTGTGTGGGGTCTATGTTCACCTATTTCACATTCCATAACATGGCATTTATTCACATTAAATTCCATTTGCCAAGTGGTGCTCCATATACTTATTTTGTCCAGGTCTTCTTGAAAGGCATGAGAATAATCTAAGTTTGTTATCCTTCCTATTATCTTAGCATCATCAGCAAACATGTTCATATAATTCTGTATTCCAACTGGTAGATCGTTTATGTAGACAATGAACATTACCGGTGCAAGAACTGAACCCTGTGGTACTCCACTTGTGACATTCCTCCAATCTAATACATTGCCTCTGATTACAGCTCTCATTTTTCTATCGGTTAGGAAATTTTTCATCCATGTTAGAAACTTACCTGTCACCCCTCCAATATGTTCCAGTTTCCAGAACAACCTCTTATATGGAATTCTGTCAAAAGTCTTTTTTAGGTCCAGATAGATGCAATCAACCCAACTCTTTACAGGAAAGTCTCAGTGGCTCGTATCATAGAAACTAAGTAAATTGGTTACACAGGATCTTCCAGATCGAAAACCATACCTTATGTCTGATATTATGTTATTTTTCTCTAGGTGTCCTACCCATTTAGTTTTAATTATTTTTTCCAATATTTTGACTATTACACTCGTCAGTGATACGGGTCTATAATTGAAAGGATCTTCCCTGCCGCCACTTTTGTAGATTGGAAATGTTAGCCTTTTTCCACATGTTTGCTATGACTCTTGTACACAGGGATGCCTGAAAGATCAGGTAAAGTGGAATGCTGAGCTCTGATGCACACTCTCTCAGAACCCATGGTAAAACTCCATTTGAACCAACTGCTTTGTTCTTACTGAGCTCCTTGAACGTATTTTCCACTTCATCTCTAGATACCTCTATACGTTCTATGCTGTTCTCTGGAATTCTTATTGTGTCTGGTTCTCTGAATATTTAATTTTGTACAAACACACTTTGGAACTTTTCATTTAATGTTTCACACATTTCATTTTCATTTTCCATGAATCTGTTTCCCATTTTCAACCTCTGGATATTATCCTTTAACTGCAATTTGTTGTTCATGAATTTGTTGAATAGGCCTGGTTCTGTTTTACATTTATCTGCTGTCCCTTTTCAAAATTTCTTTCTGCCTCTCCTTACTGCCATACAGTTGTTTCTCGCATCTTTGTATCGCTGGTATGTTTGGGGGTTTGGCCTCTTCCTATATTGATTCCATTTTTGTCTTTTGGCCTCTGGCCCTCTTGCAATTTCTGTTGAACCAATCCTGTTTTCTAGCCCTGCATTTCTGTTTAGGTATAAATGTTTGTGTGCCTTCATTGTATATTTTGGAAAATTTGGCATACATTTCATTTACTTCCCTGCCTAGCAACAAGTCTTTCCAACTGCACTCATTAATTTAAAGTTTTTTTGAAGTTCTCCATAGTGTCCTCTCTTGAAATAAAGTATATCAACTGTTTCAATGTCCCCATTTTCTTCTAGGTGATATCTTAAAGCATATTTAATGTCTAACAAGACGTGATCACACTTTTCCAAGGGAGGAAGGTACTGGATGTCAAATATCTCTTCTTCTTTCCTGGTGAATACTAGATCCAGTACTGATGGTACATCCCCTTCCCTCATTCTTGTGGCCTGCTTGATGTGTTGATACAAGAATATTTCCAGAATGAGGTTTACAAGTCTGCATGTCCAAAAGTCCTCCGTTCTTGCTTCATAGGCCTCCCAGTCTATTGCTTTAAAGTTGAAGTCCTCTAGTATCAACAGTTGTGATACTGGGGACAGTATCAACAGTTACAAGCAGTCTTTATCTGCTTGTACAATAATTTCTCTCATGACCATTGAGGCCCTCTCGTTTGTCATCCAGTTCTTCCTTTGTCCATGTGTTGCTTGCTGGTGGGCTGTAGGCATTTAACACTTTCGCGCTCTCGGCGCTCAAAAAAAATCAATACCCTAGATGCTTTCGGCACTTTGCGCGCCTACGCGTAAGACCGAAAAAGTGTACACTCTTTTGACTCTCCTGACAATAATTGAAGGCGCACGTATTTAAATTTGGTATCACTGTGTTTGCAATGAAATTGTCTATAAGAGCATAACTATAAAATGCCGCCCAAGCATAAGGAGTATCAACACCAAATAAAAAACTATGCAGATCACTCGCCGAGAGTGCCAAACAGCAACAAAATGTTTCCACTCTCTTAATGATTGCGAAGCCTACAGTTGTCCTACATCGGTAATTTTGGTATCACTGGAATCGCAATAAAATTCTCTACACGGACATATGCATATGAATGTTTAATATAGGTAATTGCCCACCCGCAATAGCGTGTGAAGTGGAGAGTAGTTAGCCGCGAGCGCACTGGCGAAAACACAGGGGGAAATCATGCTTGGAAAGTTTATACATTTATACGTTTCCTGACCCTACTTTTCTATGTACGTATTTCTTTTTTATACCAATGTGTTCGCAATAAAATTTTCTATAAGATGAAATGTATAACATTTGTACAAAGCATGTGTAAGAGAAGTGCCAAATATAGAACCACGTCGCTCAGTATGCGTTCGCGGCAGAAACGAACGCATTGTTTTCGTTCGTTTGATGTTTGTCATGTTATACTTGTTGAAACATTTTATAATTTGTATGACAGTGATCACAGTAAAATTCCCTACACAGACATATACATAACACATACAAATATTTCCCACGTGTTGGATATATCAACGGCTAAAGGGAACCCACTGCCACACGACCGCCACACCCAGAGCCACACCCGCCACACCCCCAAACATACTTTGTGTTTTTTTTTTTTACTCATAGAAGTTTATGTGATATAATATTCATTCTGGTATATATATATATATATATATATATATATATATATATATATATATATATATATATATATATATATATATATATATATATATATATATATATATATATATATATATATATATATATATATATATATATATATATATATATATATATATATATATAATATATATATATATATATATATATATATATATATATATATATATATATATATATATATATATATATATATATATATATATATATAATATATATATATATAATATATATATATATATATATATATATATATATATATATATATATATATATATATATATATATATATATATATATATATTATATATAT